TATAGCCACTACAGTGACCATCAGAACGATGAAAAAATATTGCCGTAAACAGTTTATTTTGCGACACCACGAAACAAACGATAGCGTAAAATGAAACGATAGACGTTTTTATATCGTCATCCGATATATATCGTTATATCGAACAGCCCTAGTAGTTTACACTTTTACCTAACAGTTGAAAGATCGCCATGTGTTGAATCAGGAGGGGACGTAAATCCTTTGGGTTGCATCAGGAAGGGAATCAAGTGTAAAATCTTACAGCTAACTGCTGCAGTGATCCTTCCTAAATAAAGGAGCAGCCAGAAGTAGCTTTCTTTTAGAGGCATTACTAGAGATTTTGCATTTTTGAGTTACAGCATCAGCAAAACCTTTAGAAAACAGATTGTGTCTCCGTATTTTGACAGAACTCTCTTTTGCGCCCCCATTGATGATATGTGCACATGCAACATGAGCCGCTACAAGTCAAACCGCATGCTGTCAGCTCTAACGATCAGTAGATGCTACAATTTCACTTGTTTCTTCAAAACACCTGCAGTATCTACCAAAAATGGTGAGAGGAAAAAGAAATTGTGACTTATGATGCTCTGTGGACAGAAACAGCTGAAAGATCAATAAATGCAGTGCGAGTGCACAGTAACGCACCACAGTGCAGCCTAAGGACATGTTGGTTTACTCTTACGACATCTGATTAATCAAATCCAGCAGTTAATCATTCCTGAATGGCGGGAGTCTGTCTTCAGTCGCTGGTACACAGTGTCTCTACCTTTGTGGCATAAAGCCCACACCTGTAAGTCATTACTTATCCAGGAAAAACGCCTTCTTTAATCTCAGTAAATATAAGAGAAGAGTAACAAACTCGATAACCCGTAGGAGTAGTTGGAGGCTTCTGCTGCAAGTAAAATGAGCACTGCTAAAGAAACGGCAGTAAATGGACTCACAGAGCTTCAACTGTCATAAGTGCCCATTAATTATTTGGGACAGTTTGAAAGAAACCAAGGTGAATTCTCCTTTTTATGACATGAAATTCAACCATGCCTGCAAATGCTGTTCTTACAGCTATGAAAACATAATGAAAAATGAAGGCAGGGAAACACAAAATAATATTTTCATCACTGACCTCAAGGATTTATTACGAAGCATTAGAGTTATGACCTCTACTGTGGAAGTTTTGCAAACAAACTTTTCCAATGATGCCCTAAACACATGTAGACACATTACAGGCCACTTAAGGATGAACAATTTACATGAACAACACCCAGCAGTTGAGAGATTCATCCAATTTTGGTTTGATTTGTTAAAATTATTTTCAAGATAATCTATTATTTTGATGACTATAAACAAGTGGGAAAACATCTAAAGACGGGTTATGTACCTAGTTATGTAGTACAAAAAACATAAAATCCTTTATAAAACCTGGATTTCTGATTTTAAAGACTCACTAAAAGAAAGGATCGTAAAAACTGTTTCCAGTTTCTGTTGATTAATTGAATAATCATCAGCATTATAAATTTTTACTGTGGAAAAGTTCTCGGTTTCAGACAATAATGCACAGAGCAGTGTGTTATTCTCTTGTGAAACAGTTGTGCTCAAAATTTAAAGCTTTCAGCGTGCGATAAATTGGAGTCCTGCAGTGTTTGAGCTGTTGTTCACTCAGTTCTTCCTGCCCATTTTTTTATGTGAATGTGCAACTATTTTTTCTCTTTTGACCTACATAGCAGGTAAAACACACGGTACATAACTTTACTGAGGTCAGTGGATAAAATTCTTTTA